CTTCGGACGTACCGCTTTCGGAACCAGTTCCTGCCCCCGCACTAGTAGACCTGAAACTGCTCTCAACACGCCGGACCAACCGTGCTCGCCAAAGCCCACAGTGCTTACAGGTCAGTCTACGCCATCAGCGGTACTGACACACTTGAAGGGAAGGTGTTGGGAATGCGCCCACTGCCATGATTATTCATCTCACAGAAAGGCCCGTGAGCTCATCTTACGCAGCTGTCATGAGAGCGCGACTTGTCTATCGATTTTTCCTCCTATCTGATTGGTCCATTCATTCAGCTATGTCCCTCGCGTTCCCCCTTAAGTATATGCAGCCTTTGTGTGAGAATGACTTGCACTGACATACTGTAACGTGCTTTGTCTGAGTAAACTCCCTCTCGCTCTGGCCGACTGGTCTTCTCTCTGTCTCGCACTTACGAGCCCTTGGGACCGTAATACGAACTAAATACAAATTTTAAAACGACTGCAGATAACGTTTTGAGCATATGCATACGAATATATGCGCTATCTCTCGGCCCCAACCTTTCATTGGGAAGTCCTGTTTAATTTAAGGACGTAAGCAGGTAATTCGAGGGCATACACATCCTCTATAAATAATTGAATCCAAAGACAAAGATTTTCAGATTCCGTACGGACCCGACTCGGGAATCACTTGAGGAGATTGGGTTGATAATATTTCGAAAGATTGCGTATGAATTTGATCACGAGCGACATTAATGTCCGTCATGTTGCAAATGGAACTAGTAGATGGAAAGGATTTTGAATCCCAGGAACACACTAACGTCAAGTTTTCCTGATATTGATCTTGTTTGACTGCAGATACAAACACTGACGTTGTCTTGTATTGCAGCTGCGAATTGATACTATAAAACATAAAGTACCAACTAAAACGCTAATCTGCTGAAAATATCCAGGGAACTAAATTGTTTACTTATTTGTCGAGGTAACGAAGTTGTGTTAACTTTTTTAAACAACCATAAATCAGAATTTTCTAAAGAGACACCGGCTGAAAGTTAGTCCATTTTCCCCGAGAAAATGCTCGACAGAGAGTGAAGAGCACTTTCCTGACCACCTTGACACTATTAGTCAATCATAAACGCGTGACCGCTTGTTAATACATGGGTGCTGCAGCGAGGCAAACTCCCACAGGGGAAACAATACAGAGGGAAAGAGTTTGCCTTAATATTTCCCCGATAGATTGCTCAAGAGTTCTACAAACTTGAGACTAAACGCATGTGTAAAGGACAATTTGAGCGGATAGGACAGAACGAACTGGGAGCAGTGTATTCAAATTTCAGGGCGGGTTTTAACAACAGGATTAAGAACATCTATTAAGAATCCCAAGGGGAAAGAAAGGTCACTTCTGTTTCTTCCGACAGCCCCAC